TCTATCAAGGCATTCACTATTAACATTCTGATTATTCATCCTAAACAATAGCAATGTAGAAGAGATAGTAAACAATATTCATAAGTGTTGTTACAAGGTTTATCAATAACATTGTTGTTTGTTTTTATACTAAAACTTATGATGTCCGGAATAAGGAATGTACGACTTAAGCACCGTAGTGTAGTTTTCTTATAATCCTCCCTTTATTTTTTATCAGAAAATTGCTAATCAGAAATTCGGGAGCTTCTGCAAGGGTTGATGTTGTCGCCCCATTTACCATATGTTCAACTCTATGGTTCAACATTACAGGTAGAAAGTCATCATTGTACATAAGTCTACGGGAAATTTTATCCCAATGCTTTAATATTTTGAGCACCCGATTGAAATGCTAAATCATAGACCTCTACATACCTGGACTCAAGGCCCTAAAACATAAGGTTGGACGAAGTTTCCTACCAACAAGGTACTAGAATTTGTCGTGATATTTCGTCCTTGCAGTTGTTTCTTTACAAATATAGAGCAAACAAGCATGTTTTCTAATAGTATGAAAATTTGAAAGGAAATAATAGGTCACTTTACATTTGATTCACAAAAAGCCATTTCGAAATCAAATTCAGTGTAGTTTTGACCAAACTCTAGTCGACTTATCCAGTATCTACTTAATTTTCCAGATGCGTGGTTCAGACAAACACGTTGCTATGGGCGGTTGCTAAGGACGCTATTTCGTATTTGCAGATAGTTTTGTTGTTATGAAATAGCGTAAAACAAGCTCTTTGGATATTTTCCTGTATTTTGGGGCTCATCTAATTTATCTAGCTTTGGCATAATATTTTTACTTTATCATATCATGGTTCCAGACACAGGTGGTTAATTTCAGCGCGTAAAGAAATAAGAATAAAGACTTATTATGTTATACAGAATGTAAGTCGCCAGTTCCTGGTGGTAAAGTGAATGATACGCAGAGATATCTGTTTTTATCCCGGTAGAAGCATCCTTGTGATCTAAGTGTGATCGATCATAAATTGTCTGAGAATCAGAAGTTTAGCTATAAGTCAAGAACCACGAAACAACCAGCTTATAGCTGGTGGAAGAGCCGCCACTCAGAAGCTTTCAGAAAACCGTTAACGGTTGAGACAGCCGACAGGTTGAGAAATCAAGAGACCTGAGGCGCCAGAGAACCAGAGAATGCCTGGGAACTTTAAGGAACCGCTGGCTACCAGATCTTGACTAGAAACCAGAAGCCATGAAATGACCATTGCACGATCTAAGATGCAGATTCTGGTGCCTGAAAATCGTGTGAACACACTTGACATTCCAACAGCAGCTCATTTCGGTACCGTTATAAGTCCAGGGCTGCGCAGTCGATGGATTTTCGGTGACTCTGACTCCGACTCCGACTCCGGCTTCCAAAAACCAACGTCGACTCCGACTGCGGGCATACATTACCTATCGACTCCAGCCGACTCTATTTCCGACTTCGACTCCGCAACCCTGCCAGGTCTGCGGAGTCGATTGATTTTTGGTGACTCCGACTGACTCCGGCTCTGGTTTCCAAAATCGACTCCGACTCCGACCCCGGTCAGAACTGTGGTTATAGATAGCATGTCTGTGAATAAAAGCAGTTTCGGGTGCAGCCACCCCCTTTTGCTTTTCACATTCAAAAGCTCGTCCAAAACAGGAAGAAGAACAGAAACTCAGCTTAAACATCGGTCTTGGAAAGGTCACCGACCGTAATATTTTTCCGCAAACAGACGAAGACCACGAATTTGAGCAATGACATGTCGATTAAGACTCTGAATCCGGGCAAAACTGTCGACGCCGATCGACTCCGACTCCGACTCCGCAGACCTAAACTTTATTCAACGGATTTCCATGAGACTTTACGCCGGCAAAATGCAGATAAACGTGCTCCTCTCGTCAATACGCGTCAAATAAACTTTGAATTGACCACAAAAAGTCATTTCGACAATTTTACCTCATTTCCAGGTCATGTCCTGACCGGAAAATGCCGTAATGCATATCAGTCGATCTGTATCGTTGGGCTGAACACATCTAATGCATTTTTGTTGCTGTTTAACCCGCGCCCGGCTAGGGGTCCTGGATTTCCACGCCCTGCTGGGGGGGGGGGTGTTTGAACACCTCCCCCCTTGTAACTCGGCTCCTGGGCCACGTAGCGATACGCGGAAGGCGGCGTTCGAAAGAGCGTCAAAAATAATGACGAGATCACTTCGGTCAATTTTTTGGTCAGGTCAAAGGTCAGGTCACCAGAGGTCATTGAAGGCAAAATTTCGCCGATTTCCAGGTCGAATGTCGAAAATTTCCAAGAAGCCAGCGCATAACTCGGGAACCAATAGAGCTACAGCGCCGCGGAAAAGCGCATTCGATAGCCCTATCAACGCCCTTTCTGAGTAATTCTCTCAGATTTGACCTAACGTCAACGGTTTTGCCTGCAGGGGGCAAAAACTGCAAAAATAGCCGATTTTTTCGGAAACAGTTTTTTTCTGCAATAACTTTTGACCCAAGCCTTGTACGAACTTACTTTCACCGGCATCGTGTTCCTCTCGTCAAGACGCATCGAATGAACTATAACTTGACCTTGAAAGGTCAACTTGAAAATTGGACCTCAGGTCAAGGTCATGACCTGACCGGAAAGGGTCATGTTGCATATCAGTCGATCCGTATCGTCTAGCTTAACACATCTAAGGCGTTTTCATTGCTCTAGCATGCCTCTATCAAAAGTTATTTGCGAAAAACTGTTAGATACAATTCGTGACCTAAGATGACCTTAGGGCATATACAAGGGTCACGGACACCATTTTCATGTTCAGTGTGTCTAAACCACTTGTAAATCGGTGTTTGGGAGTGTTAATAATGTCTTTCGTCCAAAAGAGGCGCATTTTAATTTTCTCCCATTGACTTATAATGGGGAGGTCGCAAAATTGACCTGACCTTAGGTCATCGATATCAAAATTCTGAGATATACATTTTGTACATGCTATTTCTCTTAGCAATCGCTAAAAGTTTTAAAGCGATCAGTCACTCGGTGTAGCTATGACAGACATTGAAACTTTTTATGAGGTGAGGTCACTTCAAGTGACCTGGTGACCTGACCTTGAATGACCTTGGTCTGAAATTTTCACAACATGTGTAGGATTGATGTATGATTTTTGAGATATTCGCGAAAAACCACAAGGGGGGTGTTCAAACACCCCCCCCCAGCAGGGCGCGGGTTAATCAAGAATCATATCTCTGTCAAAGGTTACGGTGAAACAAAAAACTGCTGGAGACCATTCTTGACCTGAAATGACCTTAGGGACATAAAGAGGGGTCACGGGTGCAATGCTGCGCCTCTTGGGGCACCATATGCGATGAGATCGATGCGTGGCGACTGGCGTACACCTCGCTGTTTCTGCCTTTGAACAATTTTTGTCTGCTTTATCTGCTAAAAACACAATAAACACATCGAGCGTAGAAGCATGACTCTTTTGTTACGTACAAGCTTTGTTCAGTTTGCCTGTAAGCACCATCAAATATTGCAAGCTTCAAGGGGTCAATGCCCTGGGGCTGTGACGTCACGCTGGGGATCGTGACGTCAGCCGTGGGGTTGCCAGTCTAGTATGAACTAGACTTCGACCCCCTCTGCCTGGACTGGACACTCGAATCTGGCGAATTGCATAGTGGCCCTAAAAGTAAAACGTTATATCTCGGGAATTAGGTCAGGTACGATGTTGCGGTCCTCACTACTGGACAGCCCTATTCATCAAAATTTAGGGCACACGTGTGTTGAAGCAATACCATGTAATAGGCCACCGTGAGCACGTGGCGCGTGAGGGATGTTTTCGAAAATGGTGCATCAGTATCTCTGGAACGGCTGAACCGATTGGCCTGAAATTCGGTATGTAGTCTGGTACACCACAGACAACACTACAGGAAGATCGAAACTTGGTATACCAGTGCACGTGCGCACGTGCGTACCCCTTTTTTGTATCTCAGGAACCCCTCGACCGTGTGGGATGAAATTTGGTATGTAGCCAGATAACACATAACTGATAATGACGCACACTCGATACTTGGCCTATCGGTGCACGTGCGCACGTGCGTACCCCTTTTTTGTATCTCAGGAACCCCTCGACCGATTGGGATGACATTTGGTATGTAGCCAGATAACACATAACTGATAATGACGCACACTCGATACTTGGCCTATCGGTGCACGTGCGCACGTGCGTACCCCTTTTTTGTATCTCAGGAACCCCTCGACCGATTGGGATGACATTTGGTATGTAGCCAGATAACACATAACTGATAATGACGCACACTCGATACTTGGCCTATCGGTGCACGTGCGCACGTGCGTACCCCTTTTTTGTATCTCAGGAACCCCTCGACCGTTTGGGATGAAATGTGGTATGTAGCCAGATAACACATAACTGATAATGACGCACACTCGATACTTGGCCTATCGGTGCACGTGCGCACGTGCGTACCCCCTCGACCGATTGGGATGAAATTGAGCATGTAGTACACACCACGGTACACCACACAGTAAGTTTCGGCAAAAACTTTAAACTTGGCATATTTGTGCACGTGCGCACGTTTTTTATCGCACCCTTTTGTATCTCAGGAACCATTGGATCGACTGGGATGAAATGTGGTGTGTAGCCAGGTACCTACCGCACATGTAGCTGTATCGATCGATCGACAAAAGGCATGCACAATGTTTATTGATTCAAATTTAGATACCTATGAGTCGAAGAAACCACGTTTGTGCCGCTGTCAAAACCGCACATGTAGATGATGCAGCTAGCCCTAGTACTTTTTTGTGTGTGCTTTTCAGATTTTGTAATATCTTCGTTTTCTTCTTTCACAATAGTGTTGTGCAGGCTGAGTACCTACTTGATTGCTAAGAATAGCAAATCAAGGCGTAGCTTTTAAGGTTTATACATTTGAAGCCTTCAGCAGCACACAAAGAAACAAAGAAATTAGCAATGTTTGCATTAATTTCTAGAGCTGGTGCAAACACGGACATACACAATAACAAGTGTTTCATCCTTATGACCGAGACAGTGACTTTACACTCCGAACTCAAAATTAGGCATTTAGAACAAAACATCTGGCACGAACAAGGCAAACGAGCGCCGCCAAGGCAGCTGAACGTCAGCGAGACGAACACGCGGCGATACATCAGCTGAAAATCAACGAGACAGCTGAGCGTCCACGATCTCAAGACATAAAATCGAACACAACGCATAATGGCGCACCACTCCACCAAACATGGTGGCATAGTACAATGAGACTATTGACATATCGAAACACATTACGTATAATCTGCACAATTATTAAGCCGCCACGCGAATATTCAAGGATACAAGCGAATGTACAATAGATACATCTGTATAAATCTTACTATGTTGGGACGTTACTTGGGACGGTAAGTCACTGCAGATCAGATCCGATGCCGCGTGCACCCTAGCGTCTCCCTTATTTCTTTCCGCTGTTCAGCTTTCTGATCTTGTCTCGACTTTGTTCACGTGTCGTCATCTGAGACGTCATTCTGCCCTTGCTTGAATGAATAGCACTATTCATTTCCGTAGCATAGTTTGACGCAAAGACGTTGAATAGAGCGCTGGCCATCCTTCCGTAGACTAACAGGAAGTCATGGCCGCTCTCGCACTTAAGGCCTGCAAGGCTACTGTCTTGCTCGCCGATAGTGGTCATCACTTTCTCGAAGCAGGAGCGTGGCTCGGAGCAACCGAGCAGAGCAGACCGCGAAGCGTCGTCCTGCATGAGCCACCTGTGAATTAGACAAACAGTCGTTTTCTGTTCAAGCGACTGCGCTGAAAATGCCGCAAATGCCGCGCAATTTCTGCTTTATTTGAATGAGTCTTTATTACGTCAAAGACCCGACTTAATCAAGGGGATTTAACTCTAATTTTCTAAACAATTAGCTGTGCTGAGCGTTGAAAAATGGTCAACGTGGTCTTGGACTGTCATCGAACATTTTCGCATTGGAAACTTTTTTCGAGATGGGACAGCCCCTTTAACCCGCGCCCTGCTGGGGGTCCTGGATTTCCACGCCCTGCTGGGGGGGGTGTTTGAACACCCCCCTTGTAACTCGGCTCCTGGGCCACGTAGCGATACGCGGAAGGCGGCGTTCGAAAGAGCGTCAAAAATAATGACGAAATCACTTCGGTCAATTTTTTGGTCAGGTCAAAGGTCAGGTCACCAGAGGTCATTGAAGGCAAAATTTCGCCGATTTCCAGGTCGAATGGCGAAAATTTCCAAGAAGCCAACGCATAACTCGGGAACCAATAGAGCTACAGCGCCGCGGAAAAGCGCATTCGATAGCCCTATTAACGCCCTTTCTGAGTGATTCTCTCAGATTTGACCTAACGTCAACGGTTTTGCCTGCAGGGGGCAAAAACTGCAAAAATAGCCGATTTTTTCGGAAACAGTTTTTCTGCAATAACTTTTGACCCAAGCCTTGTACGAGCTTATTTTTACCGGCATCGTGTTCCTCTCGTCAAGACGCATCGAATAAACTATGACTTGACCTTGAAAGGTCAACTTGAAAATTTGACCTCAGGTCAAGGTCATGACCTGACCGGAAAGGGTCATGTTGCATATCAGTCGATCCGTATCGTCGAGCTGAACACATCTAAGGCGTTTTCAGCGCTCTAGCATGCCTCTATCAAAAGTTATTTGCGAAAAACTGTTAGATACCATTCGTGACCTAAGATGACCTCAGGGCATAAACAAGGGTCACGGACACCATTTTCAAGTTCGGTGTGTCTAAACCACTTGTAATTCGGTGTTTGGGAGTGTTTATAATGTCTTTCATCCAAAAGAGGCGCATTTCAATTTTCTCCCATTGACTTATAATGGGGAGGTCGCAAAATTGACCTGACCTTAGGTCATCGATATCAAAATTCTGAGATAAACATTTTGTACATGCTATTGCTCTTAGCAATCGCTGAAAATTTCAAAGCGATCGGTCACTCGGTGTAGCTATGACAGACATTGAAAGTTTTTATGAGGTGAGGTCACTTCAAGTGACCTGGTGACCTGACCTTGAATGACCTTGGTCTGAAATTTTCACAACATGTGTAGAATTGATGTATGATAAGGTGTACCAAAAACGGCGGCGCTCCGCGCCGCCGTTTTTTAGATATTCGCGAAAAACCACAAGGGGGGGTGTTCAAACACCCCCCCAGCAGGGCGCAGTATAACTACACATAAACCACATCTAAGTTTTAATAGGTAATAATTCATCATACCTGTACACATGGCAGATGTTCATAGACAGCTCAACAGCCAGCTCCGAGGGATAGAGAAGCTTGCCCCGATTCAGGAGGTCGGTAAATGTTTTGATGGCTTCAGCCAGGCCAGCCGCACCGTCCCCGTGATGCTCGAGGTCAGCGTCCAGACGCACTTCTTCCAGCTGGCGAGGGCTCTCGTTCACCAGAAGCGCGTGACAGGCGTGACATGGCCTCCTTTTCAGGGCAGAACGAGCGAGGTAGCCAGCCACATGCATGAGCGCTTGTTCTGCTCCTTCTGATAAGGCCTCATGTTCTGCAGAGGAGGTGATGTCTACGAGCGTCTTAACCACCTCGGAGTCATCTCGTTGCCGTTGTTTGCGGGCCTCCTCCATCTGGGCAGATACTGTGCCCAGACTGTAGCCAGAGAGCCAGACGAGACTCTTCACACGAATGACCGCCTCACCTTCGAGAAACTGCCTCACGCTCGCCCAGAAATTTCCTCCAGCCAGCTTCCTCAGATAACCGAACCGGCTCTCGATTCGGTCAGACTGGATTTTGCCCAGCAGAACATAATGCACTAGGTCGCCGTGCTTTTCCAGTAGGTATTGGGTCACGCCGATCAAGCCTCTGCACGTGTAGATGGCGGCCTGTGTCGTGTCAGCTGACATCTTGCCCGCTCCGGTCCTGTTTTGCCAGGCTTCGAGCATCTTTCCAAAGTCGGCGAGATATTTCAGACCACACTTCTCTTCCCTGCTTGGTGGGGCTCTGATGGAGTCGCGCAGACGCACATGTGTGTAAGGAGTTTTTACATTTACGATGCTGAACCACTTCTTCAGCATCTCCAAGAAATCAGCCGTCTGTCTGAAGTTGCAGTGTTCCTCCTTCTGGCCATAAAACCTGAGGGCTGCCACGGTAGTTTCATGAGTGGCTGCCACGGCCAGCTGAACGTTGACACGCTCGACAGTTGTGGGGTGAATTACCCTGTCTGTCAGTCGATAGGCCATTTTGATGTCCTGTCCCATTTCCATCCTGTACAGTTGCTGCAGGTGGTTGTACTCTGCTTTCACCACTGTCTCGGTAGTTGGGAGCTGGCAGATGAGAGTTTTCTTGTTCAGGAGGTTGAAAAAGAAGTTTTTGTATAGGTGCACAGTGTCGAACATCGTGTACACCCTGGCGTCTGGGCTGTATGGGTTGATGATGAACTCTGGATGACGTCCATCTTCACCGAGGGAGTTGTGAAACCCCTGGTTAGTTCGGTGGCCATCGGTTGTGCACGAGACCACGGTGAATCCGATCTCCGTCAAAGTTTTCAAAACCGTGAAGAAGATGTTTCTGATGTCAGATGTGGTGATGCTGGTCACTGGAGACATGGATATGATATCCTCATAGCTACCAGCGACAGATGAGATGAAAGTGCAGAATATGGTACTGGTGACGCCATCCTTTCCCTCGCCGTACAGGCGTCCACCAGCCAGTTCCACCGCTCGGGCCGTGTAGACCTCGTCCATTGCGAGGTTCACTAGCCGTTCTCTTTCGCTCAGTTTTGCAAGTCTCATCTTCAGGTAGTTCACCGTGCCGATCTCTAGCCCCTCTCTGACGCTCAGCGCGGTTGTGAGTCGTCGGAGAGTCTTTCGGTGCGGCAAGAGCAGAACAGCGGAGCGGCAGATATCTTCGTAAAGCCTGGGACTTGTTCTGTCCCAAACTACGGCCAAACTCATCAGCGCTTGGCTGTAGCGCCGCCCCTTGGCAGGAACTGAGGCCAAGCGCAGCTGCTCTGCGACGAACTGGCAGATGGTGAGTTCCTCGCCACCGCCGGTCTCCGCCGCCCGATCCAGGAGATCAGCAGCAGAAGACATGAAGTGTTTTCCAGTAGGATTCACTGACTTCAGACGAGCTAGGACATTCAGCACCTCGGCTGTGCTCTGGAAAGACCCAGACCTGGCCGTCAGTCCGGCGGCGTGCTGAAGCGGGACTTCGGCACCAGCCACGTGCATCCGGAAGCGAAAGTCCTCGAAAATGGTCAGATTTCTTACGATCACAGGTAGCCCGACTGCTTCATCAAGTTTCTCAAGCCGGATGCTCAGGACTCCAGCTGCGTTGGAGAGAAGCATCTTGATCATGATGAAGCCTGAGGGTAGATTTTCATTCTTCAGCTTGGCGTGCAGCTCCTCTAGAGTGGCGAATCTCTCCGCGTTCATCATGTCGGCGCACTGCTGCTGCAGCTGCCGTTCCGTGGCATGGCGCCTCGATGATGGTGTTGCTAGTGATGTCCGTGGGCGGTTGGTCGAGCTGAAAAACGGAAAGCATGTAATTAAGACTAGATATTCAAGAATTACCTATGCAACTTCATATCGGTAACTGAAAATAACATCGACATGTATTAATACACTAACTTAAAAACAATTCCACCAATCAATGCAATAATTTCATAACATGTTTTTTTCGAACGAGAACACATGCTTGACCTCACTTTGAAGTAGTAGGTACAGAAGATAAACTTAACCTGACTTGGATATCACGCGTAACAGAACTGACTGGGCCATACCTCCGAACGGATTGATCTGATTTTAATAATTGAAACGGCGTTTATTTTTGCTGACCAGTTAAAAAAAAATTGTTGAGCACCGAGCGTGCTGCTCATGGCTTAACCTCATGCTGATGTTGAACAGTACCTACATATTTACTTCAGCCCATTGAAATCACCCGCTTTCGGCGCTTGCTGCATCCTGTGCCGCAACCCATACTGCAACGTCCATAGATGGCACTTGTGTAGAACCCCTGATGCATGTTGTGCCGCAAGACACGAAGCTCGTCCCATTTTAGTCCATTGATCGCACACATGTAGAGTGACTGGGGAATGATGTACCGCAAAATACATTGAAAACGAGAGACGCCCAACGCCGCCAAATTTGGCATACCTAGCCTATTATATAACCTTTATACAATTTCCCTGAAAACTTTAGGTCTAAGTGACGTGTCAGGTGACTGCAAATCAAAGAAAGAGTTGGAATGTCATATCTAAATTTCATTCGCGTTCTGAATATGCAAAGTATAGTTTTAGACTGATTTATTTTAAAATTTTAAAGCCGAGTTTAGCCTATTTAGTTCTATGACAAATATATTCCGATGTTTCGATGATACTGACCTAAGATCAGTTGGAGATCATGACCGCGTAATGTTAGGTCTCTGGTGGGCTGGAAATATTCAAATAAATCGTGTCTGAAACTGCTAGATATCGCCTCCTTCGGTCATAGTTGTGCTCTAATATCACCATTTTCATGATTCCTATCACTTATTCAAAGTTCAAGTCCGGTCACAAACATCATGTCACAAAAGGTCACAGCTACTATGAACTCTGGGCTTGAATTACAGGATCTATGGTTGATTCAAAGTAAATTTTAATGTTGTTTGAATGAACATAAACCGCAATTTGGACCAGATAGAAATAGGTTCACTTAAAAGTCAGGTAAAAGTAAGTGCTACCTAGGTCAAAAGTTAAACTTATGATGTTGTAAAACAAAAACCATATCGTTGGTCCGTCCCTCATTTTTACCTAAACGGACTACTTGTAGCGGAGTATGACTTCCTGGCGTTCAGCTGCAATTTAAACCATATAGAACGAATACCTTCACGGTATGCGAGACTGTTAGAGATCTCGTCTTCGTGTAAGTTTTGTGATTAGATCAATATTTTGGTACTTTTAGCAGCAACATGCTACAACATAAAAAAGTTCTCGCGAAGAGGCAATACATAAGCTATTCCACTACTCACGACTCACTCATGCAACAGTTTGTTTCTTACCTCGTGTGGTCATTTAAAATTGACGGCACCGCTGATGGTTTCAGGGACTTCCGCTGCCGTTGAGTTTTCCTAAATGTGTCTTCCACGAAATCATGTTGCTGGAAATGTAACTCGCAAATCCCGCTGTGATCTGGATTCCATTGACCATCTCTTTTTACAGCGCTGAGCCATTTTTCCCTGATGTCAGGCCTTTCATACTTTGGAAACGTAAACACTGAAACGTTTTTCAGGGAAGCAGTAAGATTACGTTCGCTTTTGGTGGGAGCATAACCTGACCTACAGCCTATAACCGCACATTTCACCATAATTATAGAAAAACAGAGTCCAATCCAGCGAGAACACATTTAGAAGACTTCGTACACTGTTGATAATTAAAATCGAACTCAACCCATTTTCCTCAGTGAAAAAGGAAGACCGTAGAAGATTGCAATAAGCAAGAGTGTCCCAGAACACCTTTAATCAATATTCCGCCCTACCCCGTAAATCTATGATAAATGTCTTGTAAACTTAATATAAGACCTTGGTTATAAACAAAGCATTGTCCAAGCCCGCATTGCCTAGATTTTATCACAAATGTATTTTCGGTATTTACTTTCTTCCAGTGCCACGCACTTAAGTTATCGTGCGATTTTTGCAAAATACCTCCGCGCGGCTGAAAAAAAGACTTAATTTTGAAGGAAAAAAAAACATGAAAGAAAACAGCCCCTACGCCAGTGTATTCGAAGAGAAAAATATGTTAATTAACACAATGTTGTAATTAACATACTAATTAACATTCAGTTGGTGAGTCTACTGCCTACTTGCCCATATTGACTAGGCCATGAATCTACGTCTACCTGTGGGTCGTTACAACCATAACCGTGCTTATATTGGTTATATACTGTATAATGAGAAGACTCATATTCACTGCTATAGATAAAGATCTACATAAAGCAGGCAACAAGACAAAAAAGAGTTGGTTGTCATTTTGCAACCTGTCTTCAAACCAACAATTCAAGCATGCTTTATCGAAATGCAACAGAATGTACCGCAAAACCTTATAACGAGCTTTTTTCTTCAGTGAACAGCGATAGTTTTTGATTTGTGCATACGTAATCAAATAGCAAGGCTTTAATTTTGTTCTCTATTTTATCAGTAGACCTAGCGTTGTTTCAACTTTGGGTAGCAGAGTTTGTTTATAAATCGTAGCTGGGGACAGCAACAAACCATTACAACCACTGCGGTGCTCACCGAGATACAAAGCGGGCGTGTACGCAAAGCGTCATGTCGATTTCCACGTGTCTGCCTGTGGCAAATGATTCATACTTGGCAACATAACACATCATCTCAATCAGTCCATAGATTCGAGATACAAAAAAGGGTACGCACGTGCGCACGTGCACCGATAGGTCAAGTATCGAGTGTGCGTCATTATCAGTTATGTGTTATCTGGCTACATACCAAATTTCGTCCCAAACGGTCGAGGGGTTCCTGAGATACAAAAAGGGGTACGCACGTGCGCACGTGCACCGATAGGCCAAGTATCGAGTGTGCGTCATTATCAGTTATGTGTTATCTGGCTACATACCAAATGTCATCCCAATCGGTCGAGGGGTTCCTGAGATACAAAAAAGGGGTACGCACGTGCGCACGTGCACCGATAGGCCAAGTATCGAGTGTGCGTCATTATCAGTTATGTGTTATCTGGCTACATACCAAATTTCATCCCAAACGGTCGAGGGGTTCCTGAGATACAAAAAAGGGGTACGCACGTGCGCACGTGCACTGGTATACCAAGTTTCGATCTTCCTGTAGTGTTGTCTGTGGTGTACCAGACTACATACCGAATTTCAGGCCAATCGGTTCAGCCGTTCCAGAGATACTGATGCACCATTTTCGAAAACATCCCTCACGCGCCACGTGCTCACGGTGGCCTATTACATGGTATTGTTTCAACACACGTGTGCCCTAAATTTTGATGAATAGGGCTGTCCAGTAGTGAGGACCGCAACATCGTACCTGACCTAGTTCCCGAGATATAACGTTTTACTTTTAGGGCCACTATGCAATTCGCCAGATTCGAGTGTCCAGTCCAGGTATGTAGAGGTCTATGGCTAAATAAAATGTTCTTTTTTTTGTTTTTGAAGCTATCATCACGTGAAATATTGCTAATAGGTTGACTTAAGCAATTTACCACTTTCCTCAAATTATTTTGTGCACCACAGTTTTACGTTTTTTATGCTTAAAATGGTACGGAAGAAAATCATTAGTAGGTATTTACAAAATGAATCTTTAAACTATATTCACAAAGGAAGAAGTACATTTTATATTAAATATTGTTTGCAAACGGAAGCTTATAACGCATTGACCAATCGTATTGCGTAGTTCAAAACCAGCTGCATGCTTTTTGGCTAATGCTGAGGTGGCTGTATGCTTGGCATTCATATACAAGGCACACCTTCCTCTACAAGGCACTCTTTTCGGAACGAGAGATGGAAAATCTTTGCCTAGGGTGATCGCTGGGGCGTCAAAGCTCCTGATTTGTGTTAGTCTCAGCTCGAGCTACAAAAGTGCTATTCCAGGTATAAAACCCTTGTTAAAAGTGATTTATTTCGATTAACCCTCATCGTGCTGGTGGTCTGAACTTTCCAGAGTGCTGGGGGGGGGGGGGCGGGGGGTTCTCGCCCCCTCTGTCTAACTCGGCTCCTGGGCCACGTAGCGGCACGCGGTAAGCGGCAATCGGAAGAACGTAAAAAATAAGGAGGAAAACATATCGGTCATTTTTAAGGTCTGGTCAAAGGTCAGGTTACCAGAGATCATCAAAGGTCAAATTTAGTCGATTTCAATAACTTTGGAAACTGCCAACTCGGGAACCAATTGAGCTACAGCGCAGCGGGAAAGGCATGATGTATGAAGAGTTGTATCAAAACCGGCAGCGCGATATTCACGAAGAACCTGAGGGGGGGGGGGGGGGGCGTAAAAACGCCGCCCAGCACGAC